CTTTCTGCCCAGATCATCGAGAAGCGCCGCCGCGATCGCATCAACAACAGCCTGTCCGAGCTGAGGAGGCTGGTGCCCAGCGCCTTTGAGAAGCAGGTAGAGCCCGGTGACCCCCGCGCTGCCTGCCCCCTGCGCCCGGGAGGAAGGGTCGCCCCTCTTCACCGCCTCTGGTTCCATCCCCTACCCCCTCCAAAAAAAAAAACCAAAAAAAAGTTTCGTGCTTCCCCTTCTCTCCTAGGGATCAGCCAAGCTGGAAAAAGCAGAGATTCTGCAGATGACTGTCGATCACCTGAAAATGCTGCATACGGCAGGAGGGAAAGGTAAAGTTTCACGTCTGACAGTGGGTCAGCGAGCTCTGCAGAGAGGCTGCTGTGTGAGAGGAGTCCGTGCCCTCGCGTCTAGTGTGCGGTGTGCTGGGGGAGTGCTTGGGGAAAGTGAATGGAAGCTCTCTTATGTTTTGTCAGGAATTTGGGACTTTCTTCTGCTTGACAAGATTCACGGCATGGCTAGCAGCTGGAACGTTTTACAGGGCTAGTTCCAGGTTGTTCTGGGGGAGAGTGATTACAAGCCTCTAGCAATGTGTCAGCATTGTGAAGTGAATCGGCTTTTGGCAACTTGGAAAACGCAAAGTTGTTGTTGTTATTGTTGTCAAATGTTTGTTTCTCTAACTTTCTGAAAGTTCAGAACAGAAACTAGAAAACAAATACAGGATGAAATGAGTAGTGAAGAGAATTAGCAAAACCGGTGAAATGAACTTTTAGGAAAAAAGGACGTTGCCTGCAGAAGTCCCCTCTGATAAGTTAAGACTTGCGTTTCTAATGAATTTCGCTGCGCTGTGGTTTCGCTTGCACTGGGGAGACATGAAAAGAACAAAAGTACTTTCCTCCGGTGGCAGTGTGCAATTTCAGTTTAAAAATGGCAGTCTGTGACTGGTCTTGGGACTTGCAGCATCACAGCACAGATATAAAAGAAAAGCTTGTTAGACAAAAAAAAGGGGAAAAAAAAAAAAAAGGAGCTTGGCAGCTAATCTATGGTTGGGAATACTAACCACATCCAAGTGAAGTATGCTTATAGGGGAGGGTGGAGTGGGGAGGCAACATGCAGGCAATGACTAGAAAACAGCATCTTAAGACTCCATTCTTTGTTCTTTTCTCTTAGGTTATTTTGATGCTCATGCTTTGGCTATGGACTATCGGAGTCTAGGGTTTCGAGAGTGCCTGGCTGAAGTCGCTCGATACCTTAGCATTATAGAGGGTCTGGACGCCTCCGATCCTCTGCGAGTTCGACTTGTGTCTCATCTCAACAACTACGCCTCTCAACGGGAAGCAGCGAGTAGTGCACACGCTGGCATTGGACACATTCCTTGGGGCAGTGCCTTTGGACATCACCCTCACATATCTCACCCGTTGCTGCTGGCTCAAAACGGGCACGCTAATACCAGTACTACAGCATCTTCCACAGAATCACATCACCAGACCAGAATTGCCGCCCCACATGCTGAAACTTCCTCACTCAGAGTGCCCCCAAATGGCAGCGTTGGACCAGTGCTCCCCGTGGTCACATCTACCAAACTGTCTCCTCCTCTTCTCTCCTCCATGGCATCTCTGTCTGCGTTCCCCTTTTCGTTTGGCTCCTTCCATCTGCTGTCCCCCAACGTGCTGAGCCCCTCTGCACCAACGCAGTCAGCAGCCCTTGGCAAACCATACAGACCTTGGGGGACTGAGATTGGAGCCTTCTAAGAACTAACTCTTAGTAAGGGTGGGGAAGCCTACAAACCTAGCTGAGCTGGGTTATGCCACGCTTAAAGTTGAAGTTCTTAATGACTGGGACAAAGGTACAGCTTCACCTTAACTAAGTTGGTCTAAAAACTGTCTCTTTGGATTTTTCTTTTTGTTTTCTACATTTTTGTATTAGCTTTTTTTTTTTTTTTTAAATAGTTGCTGAAGTTGTCCAGAAATAAAATTACCATAGTGGTTGTTAACACTTGTGTTAGATCTGTGCTGAGCATTTAATTCACTTTTGTAAACAGTTTGTTTCAAATGTTTCATTTGTCCCGAGTACGTCGGACCTCCTTTTTATGAAGAGATACCGCCTATTACTGTTAGCAATGGCCTAGTTTAGTTATTAACTTTTCCCAGACCACTCTTCTCAGCGTTAACAAGCTGTGTTTTTGTTAGTGTTTTGACACCAAGATGTTCTGTAAAGAATTACTCTTTTTGTAAACTGTATTTGAGTCTTTTATTTCTGAGCAAAGCGTTGACAAATCAGACGGACCAGCTTGGCCAGCTTTATCCAAGAGCCCAACTTTTATTTTTTCTGCAGTGGTTTGGTATATTTGGTGGTCTTACTCTAGTCCCTAGTGGATGTTTACTCACATCACAGAACCACTACTCTTACTTCTTCCACCAAAAGGAGCAGTATGTGCTGTAGAGCAAACTGTGGAGTGGGGAGGGTGCAAAAGCCAAATTACACGCTGTGCTGGTGATGGGTTTAGTTGCAGGGGAAGTAAAAGGGGGGGGAAAAAAAAAAAAAAAAGTTGTCACCTGCAGTAGTCTTCCAGCCAAAGCCGGTCATATGTGTGTTCATTTCATAGGGCCAGATTCTGCTTTGAGTTACAGCGGAGTAATTGTTCTGTTACCCCACGTTCTTGGGTGGCTGAGATCAGACTC